ATCAAGGATTCTACTCAAGTGAGACGGATTTTATAGTTTAGGGAGTTAAATATTCCCACTTTGAAAGTTTAAGGATGTAAGTAAGAGTCAAGCCAAAGTTAAAGGGTGCAAAGTGGAATTAATCCTAAGCTTAATTAAGCAATACAAATATTTTCAACGAAGTCAATCTTCTCTGTGATTCGTTATTCGTTTGGTTTATAATTGATTTCAAAAAGACCTGTCTGTTGAATATAGTGTATAAGCTGAAAAGAACTGATAAAAGTAAATATTAAATCTAAGCATAAGACAATTAATGGCCAAAAGCTATAGAAGTTTTAATTGCTGATGTAACAAATGCATTGCGAAATTTTTCCAATCGGAAAGTTAGTTGGGTGCATGGTGGTATTAATTTTGTTGCCCATGAGAAGGCAGAGTATCTTGGTTCGGTTGATGATTCTATCATCCGGGGGATTCTTCCCCACGTTTTGTTCTGTCCGCTCTTTATATTGACTCACTAATCCATTAATATGATAGGCTTTTTCTATCAAAAAAATTTTGATTTTTATCCATATTATATTTGTTGGATATTTTAATAAAAAATATCACATATTTATTTTGAATTCAAACACAATAAATTACAATGTTAAATGAATTTTCAACTACCAATAAAACCATTTAAAAGTGTAACTTACGTCTTTAAAATAAGATTTATGTCTTGAATTGTGTGACCTATGTAATGATTAGGTTTATGAATTTATTTAGTTAATTTTTTACCGTTATACAATAAATCTAGACATTTCAATTAGTAGCTAAAATATGAGGTGTTTATTCCTCTTAATGTTAATATTTTAGTACTCATAATTTCTGAACCTACAAATAAAGGTATCTATCAACCAAACCTAATATATACTTAGCCATCTCTAAACTATTTTCTACTTTTCTTTCTCTCACTATAATTGGATATTATAGAGCAAAGAACAGTGTTGTGTGAGGTTTCCATCTTACTCCAATAGTGTAAATTGGAGTAGACTACAGTGAGATAGGGTGAGCTGTTATATCCTAGAGGTGATGTGCTGAAATCTACTACACCAGAAGATACTCCGTAGGGGTGCGAATCGTTTCAAAGAGACCAATCTAGTCCATGCCTCAGCCCATGCCAAATTAACTTTTTATGGTATAAATTATTTGCATTTTTTAATGTAATATTGAGGTATGAAATTTTTATTAATTTCTTTGTTAAATTTTGTTAAAGAAATTATTGTTATTTATATGATTTATTTTGGTCAAAAACCAACAATATTTGATTTATTGATCAAAACAAGAAAAACACACACACACACACACACATATATTATATAAGATAATTCAATGTAACCAAGTCAATAAGTTATTATATAAACATGAGGGGAGATGGATTGAGTGGTACGGAGGGAGTGTAAGTAAAAAGTTTTGAGTTCGATTTCTCTCATCTATACTGAAAAAAATGTAGAATCCACAAAATTCTAACAAAATTATATGGGAGATATACAGGAGATATATTCGTAAAATCAATGTATATGGGGAGTCAATTTAACACCTATAAAAATGTGGGAGAAGAGGCATAAATATCAACAATAATAAGTTAATCACGCACTATAATAACAAGGCTCTCAAGTCTTTCACTCTTTTCAACTAAACACAATAATATGACCCCCTATTTATAAACTAGATGACTTGATAAGCAAGTCTTATAATCATAAGAAATTTCCTAATAAGATACTAATTCTTAAATAATAAAACTACAATAACTTGATTCCAATAGAATTACTAAAACCCTAATTTGACTAAAACACTAGTAAATAATAAGATGAAAATTTTTAATTTTGAGCCTTGATTTAACATGCCAACAAAAAATGTTAAAAAAATTATTCTATATACTTGAGGACACGCAACAACATCAAAAACGTAATGATAATACTTCTATTAGATACATAAGGATCAAATAAAAATTATTTGTCATACGGCAGTTGCTTGTTTTCAATCGAATTCAAGGCTATACCCTTGTTGGCAAAGGTGCAAAGGGCTTACAGGTCAAGATAGGGACCAATCCCAGTTCATTTAACCACATATAGACTAAGTGCTTAGGAACTTGTCCGAAGATGTGTGGTTGCTGCTGACGTATTGCTTCTTGATTCGCTGAAAAGTTGTCGTTCTTCATGAGCTATGCACTCGACAGGATAAGTTGGGCTGCCAAGTGCGTTTGTGAGCTGCCGAGTATTTTTGCTTGCATGCAATCCACTGAAGAGAGTAATCATTATAATAATAGTAATTGTTCTTTTTGTTCAAACAATCTGTGATTGGGCTTGCTTTTTTCCTCTTTTCCACGTTACCTAATGTCAGGCTTTTGGTGATGAATTGTCATGAAAATTGGAGTGGTTATTGGGCTGAATGTGATGGGTCATCGGTAACTTATTTGCCCTTGGTTGGCATGTTTATTTATGTTCTTTTTTTACGAGTTGAATAAGTTCTGTTCTTGGGTTATAGATGTCAAAAAGTTTCCGGCCTACTGTAGAAGTTTTAAAACTGTGCTTCCTCCTTTGACTTTGCTGCTGATTTTCCTTCTTGTTCGTACGATGTTAGGAGCTCAAACGATGTCTTGCGTCCTGGATTTTGCAGACATTATGATGATTCCTAGTGTGTTTAGTGTTTTTTTTTTCCTTTTTTATCTTGCCTTGCTACCGATAGCGGGCTAGCTTTTAATCTACATTGTACTATTTCTCCTCTTCGTTTCATTTGCTCTTTTGCCTCGTACTCTCTTCTTTTCAAGGCCTCTTTTCTCTTCATCTTGTCTTCCTCACCCTTGGTCAGTTTCCTGTTACAGATTTATATGTTCTGGGCTCTTGTTATCTATGCATTGTTGTACCACAGTCTTTTTCTTGTAAACTAACTTCAAGTATTTCTTCCATTTCTTTGTAAATGCTACTGGGTATATGCTTTGGGACTTGTGGTGAGCTCATTTTAAACTTCCTGCTTTTTTGTTTCTATTTTTAGGTTTTGTTTCTATTCTTCTGATTGCCTGTCTTACATCCGTGTGATGGGCTTTTCTCTGTAGAATTTGCCGGCCTTTGCTACTTGAGAGGATCCTTTTTTGGAGCTGATTCTTTGTCATGTGTTGGGACAGGAATTCTGTTGCAGGTCAGATGCTTATTTTTTTTTTGTCTTCTTTGCTTATTCCTTCTGTTGTACATCCTTTGGTTAGTTGCCATTTTTGCTCTTCCATTCTTGCTTCATATAGAAGCATCTCATCTGTGTAATAGTTATTAGCTCACGTGTAATAGTTGCCGTGCATGGATATTTTTAAAAAAAATTCCCTTTGGTCTTTTTCCTTCTTAGTTTTTTGCAGTAAAGCTGGAATGAATGCATTTTTTTTCCCTTGTATCGTATTTGTTATGAAAAAATTATTCTTTGTTCTTTTGCCTTCTTAGTTTTTTACAGTAAAGCTGGAATGAATGCATGTTTTTTTTTATTTCCTTGTATCGTATATGTTGTGTTGTTCTTTTTCGCAGTCGGTACATGTTTTTTTTTCCTTCTTTGCAGTGATTTTATTATAGTTTTTTTTTGTCTGTTGTAAACTGCCGTTCGTTGATTTTTTGGCATTGGTGGTTCTTAGTTATTTAAGTCAAATGGATAGAAATGCTATTCGTCGGAAACGGTATGCTGAAATGCCACAGAATGAGAAGGCTGCACTTTCACGTCGGAGGCATGAAGCCGGGGAAAAAAACAAAAGAAAGAGAAATCCTCGCACTCTTATGTTCATGAGATGCCGTTTGGTTGCATAGAAACTGGTGTCTTTTTTCCTGGTTCTCCTGAGGGAAATATCAAGCTACGGAGTAGTTAGGATCATATTTCTCATCATGATAGTCTTCTTGTTCAAGACTCAATGGACTATATGTCCATCGGTGCACCTGCATGCCCCAGTGCTTGTAGTAGTGGTCCTTCTGCTGTTATCATGCCACATTTAGTACAATATGGTTTTACTCCTCAAGGTGTATATTCCATTGTGGTATTTTACCCATCTATTCTGTGTCCGTTACTTTATTTAGCACTGCATTGGCTCAGTGTCTTTTAATGGCTTCACTTTTCCTATGCTATTTACAAATGAGGCCATCTATTTTTGTGCATTGCAATAGCTCCACTGGATGACATAGTTCATGTTAGAAAAAGTCATCCAGAATCTAGTGTTGGAAAAATAAAAGTAAAAAACACACTACTGTGTCTTCTCACCTTTGGGCTAACGTCCAGCCTTGTTCTAATCAATGTTTTCAAACTCGGACCGTCAATCGAACCGGTGAAGTGAAAGAATCGAGGTTCAATCGGTCGGATCGGTTCAATCGGGGTTCAATAAATAAATAAATAAATATATATATATATATATATATATATATATATATAGACACACACACCTATGCATAGAACAAGATATAAATGCTGAACCACAATAAATATAAGAGCAATATCCAACAATTAACACACACAATTAACATAGTTATGAAACTTACATGTCCAATTGTCTAAATATTAAAATTAACAAAAAACAATACAAGTCTAGAAAACAATCAAAAGGTCCAAACGAGTCCAATTTCTGAAGCTTCTATAATCTTCTTCATAATTCTGGGACAACAAAGCTTCAAAAAAAGCCATCTTGACAAGTCATCATCATCATCCAAGACTATTATATGAATCACTGACAAGTGATAAAAGTATAAAATCATATTAGTTTCATCACACCAACTGATACAAATCTTAAAAATAAAAATAAAAGAGTACAAATAATTCTATACCAATTACCATTTGAACATTTAATGCCAATTATCATCTTCATCATTAAAAAAGTTTCGACGCTGAAATGTTTCTAAATCAACATCTTCTGCTTCATCTTCATTATCTAAAAAATCAACATATTTAATTATATACATATTCAACAATTGAATATCATATCATACTAGCTTTATTTTTGCATCAAACTAATGATTTATGTCAAACTAATCTTCAAGTTGTTCAGAATTTGAACATTGACCATGAATTGGAAGTTCTTCAAGCTCTTCCTCTAACTCCTCATAATCAAGCTCCCCTTCTTGTTCTTCTTCAACCACCCAAAATTCTGTTTTATCAATTGACTCATAATCAACGGGATCATACGATCTCTTTTGCTGATTATGCCTACAACATATATATATACACACAACATATACACTTAGTTAGTACTAAAATATTTTCTTAAAAGGAATGAAATGTCATTTATAAAAATAAACCATTTACATATACCTATACTGCAAACACAAATTGTAATGCACATATACAAGATCATTGAGCCTTTGATGCTCCAACCTATTCCTTTTCTTAGTATGAATACGTTCAAAAACACTCCAATTACGCTCACATCCTGAAGAAGAAGCTGTTTGACTCAAAACCCGAATTGCAAGTTTTTGTAAGTTGGGAGCATCACAACCAAAGAGCTTCCACCAATTCTCTGTCATATTCAAAATTTAAATATAAACAAAATATTTATAAATTAGATATATATATATATATATATTAGAGAGATTCAAATGCTAGAAAAATATAAATTACCTGGTCTATCTTTCTTGCTAGTAAGAATAGCAAGTTTTCTGCCAAAACTTCTCTCCCGCTCTCGATACATTCCAATTTCTCTTGTTAAATTTTCCACACTACACCAATCCACCTTTGATTCTATGTAATCCAACAAACCATTTGTAATTTCTGGATGTGTAGAGAATGTGGCAGTGTCATATTGAAAAGCGGGATTTAAAAAATATGCCGTAGCATGCAAATTTTTCCTCAACATCCTATCCCATCGGTCATTGATGATATCAATGTAAGGCTTATATAGTCTTTCACTACTCCTGAACAACTTCTTGATTCCAGTAATTGCTCTAAACATACCTTCATACACATACCCCAAAGAAGGCCTTTCATCAGTGTCACAAACTCTCAACAACCGAATAATAGGACCCATTATTCTCACCGTAATCAAACAATTATTCCAAAATCTATCATCCAAAACAATTTGTTTGACCTCTTTTCCTTTGTTCATTTTCAAGAACTTTTTGTAATCTCCGCTAGTGACTAAAGCTTGTAAGCTGTCTTTGTGATCATGTAAGCTCTTTAGTGCAATAAAAGTGGTGGCAAATCGAGTCTCCCCCGGACGAATAATCTCCCTCCACCCATTAGTTTTTCTCAGCCAATTTAGAACATATTTATGATTATACACAAAAACAGTTACTGTAGTAGCAAGAGCCACTAGAGATTTAACAGTACCCATTTCACCAATATCCTTCAAAATCAAATTGATACAATGGGCAGCACCTGGAGACCAGCAAATAGTTGGATATCTTTCATTTAATAAAGCTCCAGCAGCCTTATAATTGCTAGCATTATCAGTGACTAAATGCACCACATTTTTTGAACCAACCATTTCAACAATTTCAACAAATAGATTGCACAAATTTTCTGCATTTGTCACAATGTCCGATGCATCTATAGACTTGATAAAAGATATACCCTTAGGACAATAAACCAGAAAATTAATCAATGGTCTTTGTCTACTATCTTTCCATCCATCACCCATTATAGTGCATCCAGTTTCAGCCCAAGTATTTCGAAATGAATCAACAACTAACTGCACATCTTTCTTAGCATCTCGCAACAAAGTGACTCGCAAAGAATGATAAGATGGAGCTTTATAACCATGACCCATTGATGCAATTTGATCGATAGCTTTTTGAAAAAATGGAGAATTAACAGCATTAATGGGAATACATGCATCATAGAACCAAAGAGCAATGGCCATATCAGTATTTTGCCATTTATCCTTACTTTGCAAACAAACTTTGATAGTAGGTTGAGCACTATCACGTCCACCCTTAAAGAAAGCACGAATACCTGTAGGGGCAGTGGTTTTTCTCTTTCCTTTACCTAATGATGTACCAGCCTCATTCATTGAAATTTCCCTTATTCGAGGAGGTGGAACCTCTTGCACTTCATCACCGACAAATTCGTGCACTGGTTGACCAAAAGGACTTTCAACCCAAAATCTCCTCTTTTTTCTTTAGATTTTTTATCATTCTCTTGCAAACATGTTAATATTGCAAGCCTCACTGCTGGATCAACATTTGGACATGAAGTAACACTGCCCGTTACTCTTGCCAAGTGTTGCTTCATTCGGTGGATGCCACCCCCATGAAACACTTTAAAACAATAAGTGCATGTCATGGTTTTTCTTCCTTGTGCATTTCTGCCCTCAGAAACATATCCCCATGCTATATCTGTCTTTTGCCTATGACCTTGGGGCTGACTTGCAGATCCCTCACTATTGAATGGTCCCCCCGGTGAACATTGTGAGTTACTACCGCTACCAACCTCCATCCTAAAATGAGATATTTAAAAATAACTAGTCTTAACAAATAATTAATATACACAAACTGAAACAAATTATTAAAGCTATTCGTATTTGGGAACTGAAACTATCACCAAAAGATCTAAAGGGGTTAATGGAGACAATGAAACAACCGTTTAGCACGAGTGAAGTTAATTCCCTAAGCCTTGTGCATTTCTTGAGGGTGTTAAGTATCTTCACGATAACTGGGTTTTGCACAGAGATTTAAAGACATCAAATATACTTTTAAATAATAGCACAGAGATTTAAAGACATCAAATATATTTTTAAATAATAGCACAGAGATTTAAAGACATCAAATAACTTTCAAAGACATCAAATAACTTTCATCTGTCATGTTACTGTAGATTTTTGTATGGATTTCAAGCTAATTTTCTTCTCTGTGGCCTTAAAGATCATTGTCGTTTTGTTTTGCAGATATTCAAAATTTTTCGTACGCCTAATGACACAATCTGGCCTGGGTTTTCGAAGCTTCCAGGGGTCAGGGTTAACTTTGTCAAGCATCAGTATGTATTAGACTATTATTAGAATCATGTTTCAGTTCCCAAATAAATGAAGCTTAAGACTATTAGACTATTATTAGAATCATGTTTCGCATGCAAATTTCATTACCGAATATCAGTACCGTAAACCAATTCGTATTGAAAAAAGAAGATAGAAGCGCAGCAGGTGTATGAAGTAAAATACCTAAGACAGGGTTGCGAGAAAAGCTGATGAAGATGGTGTGAAGTGTGAACGAGTTTGGACTTGCACTATTAGTAGATAAGCTTGAATTCCACAATTTTTTTTTGGCTTAGAATCGGAGCAGCAGGCGGAAAAACTTTAGGCTTCGGTGCTTCCTTTTTGCTGATTGCTATGGATCAAGATTGGAGTTTGGACTTAGTAACATCAAAACATAGAAGCAGAAATCAGCACATTCATAGCACTTTCAAAGTCCATACACCTTTTACCATTTGGCTTCTTTCTGTTGTCTTTTTTTTCTTCCTAGTTCCCTCTACAAATTACTCCAATCGATCGCTCGATAAATCTTCCATCACCATGGATCCACAGGATTTTTCCACCGGCAGCAGGCCGTCTCCGAGGAGAGAACTACAGGGCCCAAGTCCAGCTCCACTTAAAGTAAGCAAAGACTCCCACAAAATCAAGAAACCACCAGTTGCACCGCAGCTGCACCACCTCAATCACCCTGCTCAGCCGCACCTTCAGCCCACAGTCGACAACGAACACCGCCAACCAGTGGTCATCTACGCCGTTTCCCCAAAAGTGATCCACACCACACTTTGGAGAAGGGATTAGAGTTAAGCCATTAAGGGGAAAAGGAAATTTCGGCAATTGTAGAGAGAGGAACCAGGAAGACCGAAGCGGCGAAGTGAAGTGCGAACTGCGAAGAGGAAGACTGGAGCGAACTAGCGAAGTTACCGAAGCGAAGAAATGAAGAATGAAGATTAGGGATCGGTCAAAATTGAAGTTTTTGTCAATTTTGACTCAAAAATTGGAAAACCGCGGTTCACAGTCCGACCCGATTTTGAAGATTTGAACGATTTTTTACGGATTTGAACGATTTTTTACGGTTTTGACCGGTTTCTTATAAAAGTCAACACAAGCTATAGACCGGACCGGACACATGGCCGGGTCGCAGTCGAACCGGTCAACCCGGTCAGTCCGGTCCGGGTTTGAAAACATTGGTTCTAATCATTAACCTTTTCCGCACATTCGTCGAGAAGTCTTGCCTGACCTTTCAGATAATATTATATTATAGCCTTCAATGAGAACGAACAAAAGTGTGATTGTCAAAATGAAAAAGTAAATAACATGTTGGATTTGAAGGACTTGAACTCTACAATCCTTAACTCTCTGAACACTCCATCTTTAAATTGTTTGTCCAAAGACTATGTTTCCTCTTCTATTCCATTTGATCCCTGGTCTTTGAGCAATCCTCGAGGTAGAGATATTACTACGTTCAGCAATTCATGTTTTCTTTCTTTTGTCAATCAGCATTTAGTATCATTGTCCTTCATATGCTACTCTGATATAAATAATGATGTCTATTTATATGCGTTGCAGTGACTCCATTCAATCAGAGAGCTCAGCGTCGTAAATGTCAGATAGAGACTATTGCTAGAATAAGGAAAAAAATAAAGGAACATGCATCTTTTGATTCCTTGCTTAATGACCAGCCTTGTCAGTGGAGGCATGCAAATACTTTGTCCAAGGCATGGTCTCACGTTCCAGAGGTTAACATTGCAATTTTTTATGAGAACGAACAAACCTCTAGTACACAATGTAAAGGTACAACTAACATCTTTGAAACTACACAGAACTTAAATTCTAAAACTCTAGGTTCTTTGAACGGTCCATCTCTGAGCAACTTGTCAAAAGACTGTTTCTTCTTCTATTACATTCAATCTCCAATTTTCTAGTGCTTCTCTAGGTATAGATATTATTATACACACCAATTGTTTTGCCTTTCCTGTTCAATCTCTCTTCCTTAAAAAATTTTCTCCTTCTCCTCTAGGATAATTCTGTCTTATTGCTACCTAATTAAGTTTGCCGTTCCAGATATCCAGTCCATTCAAAAAAAAATGTGATTGTTCGTTCTCAGACACTAAGTGATGTGTTAGCTAACAGAGATGAGACCAGCAAATCCTTCAATATTCCTATTGTTTTTATAGATTGTGCAAAGAATTGTACGAATGTTATGCCAACAAGAACGAAACAGTCAGGTTGTCCATTCATTGTTGATGCCATTTCAGACTTTTTTTCCATGTTTCGTTTATGTTAAGTTCGTTTAAGATTTTCTCCTACCCATTGTACCCAATACATAGAGTAAATAATGGTAAACATAGTTGCTCAAATGTCTTTAGAATTGAAGAAATTCCTAGAGAATCTTTATTGCTTCCTGATGCTCCTGATTGTGTGGAGCGAAGAGGTTTCATCTGGAACCTCCAAGCTTGTGCTGTTCACAAGGGGAAATCTCTATAGTTGTTCCTCCAATGCCTTATGCTCTAAAACAACTATTTATAGGGACTAATGAAGAATGTGAGCATTTTAGATAAATGTCCCATACTTATAACAATAACTTGTCCTTCACTTCATTTGCTGCGAAGTATGATCCAAAATTGACAAAGTATACGCAGGGAATTTATACTTGTCATGTTCAGGACCACGTTTATCATTTTCTCAATAGTTTATCACAGAGAGGGGATAGACCTTGTGGAATTCATCTCTATTTTTTTTTTATACTGATGAAGAATTAGTAAAGAGGGTTGCTACTTCTGACAAACTGCATGAGAGGACTTTAAAGCTGCTTATGGATATGCTAGGTTCTTCAAATATCTGACAGATGTTCCAAACCTCGAAAAACATAATATTGTGCTTATTTGTTATCCTGGGCTAGATCAACTTGTTTAAAATCTTCCTTCTATCTCTCGAGTTGGTGCAATATGGACTGAAAGTGCTGATGAATTAGTTGAAAGGCGAGCCTACATTCTAGCGTATAGCCATTCAAATACCAACCACAAGGTTCAGCATTATTATGCTTATTATGATCCTTGAAAACTAAAAAAAATGGAGAGAAAATAGTCTTCTTCATATATATTTGGACTACACAATATACAAATATATATACACAAGTATAACCTAATTTAGATTCTAAAATCATGCTAATCTAAATTAGTCTATTACCTAATTAATATATGATACTATAATCAATCAAATATAATCTTTCCTAATATTTACAATATCAAATCTTTTCATAATATCAGATCACATATCTTCAACACTCCCTCTCAAGATGGAGATGTTAATCATGCCTATCTTGTCACAAATGTAATCAATTCTCGAACCATTTAGAGGTTTAGTGAAAATATCAGCTAACTATTCTCCAGTTCTCACATGACTGGTTGAGATCAAGTTTTGCTGAATTTTTTCACGAACAAAGTGGCAACCAACTTTGATATGCTTTGTTCACTCATGAAAAACTGGATTTGATGCTATATAAAGGGCAGCTTGATTGTTACACCATAACTTCATTGGAAGTGAATTATTGATTCCCATCTCACACAATAATTGATGTATCCATATAAGCTCACAAGTGGATTGTGCCATAGACCGGTATTCAGACTCTGCATTACAGCGAGATACTACATTTTGTTTCTTACTTTTTCACGATACCAAATTACCTCCAACGAAGACACAATACCCAGTTGTAGATTTTCGATCAATTTTAGAACATGCTCAATCCGCATCTGAGAAGCATTTAATATGAGAATGACCATGATTACCATATAGTATACCACGTCTTGGAGCTCCTTTAGAATAACATGAGATTTGTTCTAAAACTGTCCAATGGGTGATTCTTGCTAAGGACATAAATTGACTCACAATACTAACCGGATATGTAATATTCGGACGAGTCACAGTAAGATAATTCAACTTTCCCACTAATCTCCGATACATCTGCTGTAAGTTGCATGTTGGGGATCATTGGTGCACTGCATGACTTAACACCTAACTTTCCTGTTACTTTTGAAAAGATCAAGGACATACTTACTTTGGCATAAGAAGATACCTTGTTTACATCTTGTAACCTCAATGCCTAAAAAGTATTTCAACATACCCAAATCTTTTGTCTGGAAGCGCAATTGAAGAAAATTTTTAAGAACTGCAATACCTACATTGTTACTACCAGTGATAACAATATCATCAACATAAACCACTAATAGGATAATACCAACTTCAAATTGTTGATAAAAAATAGAATGATCAGAATTACACTTCTTCATACCAAACTCTTGAACCACCTCACTGAATCTCGCAAACCAAGCACGAGGACTCTGTTTTAAATCATATAGTGAATTTCGAAGTCTACAAACCTTACCAGACTCCCCCTGAGCAACAAATCCAGGTGGTTGCTCCATATAATCTTCCTCTTACAAATCCCCATGAAGGAATGCATTCTTAACATCTAACTGGTACAAAGGCCAATTATTAGTAGCAACAAGGAAAATAAATAATCGAACAGAGGTGAGTTTTGCTACGGGAGAAAACGTGTCTAAGTAATCCACCCCATATGTCTGAGCATACTTTTTTGCAACAAGACGAGCTTTGAGGCGAGCAACAGAACCATCAGGATTAACTTTTACAGTAAACACCCATTTACAACTAATAGGTTTCTTACCCGTTGGTAGATGAACCAAATCCCAGGTACCATTGTTATCTAGGGCCATCATTTCTTCCTCCATAGCATCCCGCCAACCAGGATGTTCCAAAGGCTTAGATAAGCGTTGAGAAAAAGATATTGAGTCTAAGGAAGCAGTAAAACAACGCAAAGAGGGAGACAAATGGTCATATGAAGCAAATGATGAAACTGGGTAAGTGCACCGTCTTTTACCTTTTCTTAAAACAATAAGCAAATCAAGACTGGAATCTAGAGACTGAGGAAGCAATGGATCAGGACTCGGATCTGTAGAGAGAGAAGGTGGTGGAGGATGTGAGTCTATGTGTTGAGAATGACGAGAATACACTTGAGTGATCGTTGGTCTTGTAGGAACAGTTGTTGTAACAGTGTAGACTAGAATATCATCTCCCTTCCCCTGACTACTATAGACATTAGACTCAAGAAAAAATGGATGCGCCTCAAAAAAAGTAACATCAGCATAGACTAAATAACGATCTAAACTTGGAGAATAACATCTATACCTTTTTTGAAAACTTGAATAACCCAAAAACACACACTTGAGAGATTTGGGATCTAATTTAGACACCTGAGGATTGGTATCACGAACAAAACAAGCACACCCAGATATGCATGGCTCAATGGGAAATAAAAATTGGGTTGGAAACAAAATTGAATAAGGAATCTCGCCAGCAAGTATAAAAGATGGCATGCGATTAATTAAGAAACAGGCTGTTGAAACCGCATCTGCCCAAAATTGCTTAGAAACCTTCATGTGAAATAGAAGGGCTCTAGTAATTTCTAATAAGTGCTTATTTTTCCTTTCAACAACACCATTTTATGGTGGTGTGTCAGGACATGAAGATTGGTGAAGGATTCCATTTTCTGACATATATGAATTAAAGGGTTTAGAAAAATATTCTTTTGCATTATCACTTCGCAAAATGCAGACAGACACATTGAATTGTGTTTTTATTTCAGAACAAAAGAAATAAAAGATATTAAATAAATCTGAACGACTTCTCATTAAATATAACCAAGTAACACGAGAGTAGTCATCAACAAAGATAACAAAATATTTAAAACCAGACTTAGATACTATTGGACAAGGGCCCCATATATTAGAGTGCATTAATTTAAAGGGGGATGAAACCCGTTTATTGACTTTAGGCAAGTAAGACAAACGATGATGCTTGGCAAATTGGCACGATTCACAATCTAAATGGGATAATTCTGAAAATTTGGACACAACTTCTTCAAAGTGGGGTAGAGATAGATGACCCAAACGACAGTGAATTTCAAGCGAAGTCAAGGTGGAGGAACATGCAATAGGTTTCGGCACTTTCAATGAAGGGATTTCAAGTGTATACAAGCCGTCAGACTCACGTCATTTACCAATAATTTTTTCCGTCATAAGATCCTGAAAAACACAGTATTCAGGAAAGAATGAGACGGAGCACTTGAGAGCTTTTGTAATTTTACTAACTGAGAGTAGATAAAACGAAAAATTAGGTAAGCATGAGACTGGATATAAGGGGATAGATGACACAATAATTGCTATACCAGAACTCACAATTGAAGCACATGACCCATCAGCTAAAGTAACATTCGGATGATCTTTGTTAGGATTAAAAGAGGAGAGGATACCTTTATTACCGATCATATGATCTGTTTCACCGGAATCGATGACTCATTTGTTAGAAGATGACACAAGGCATGTGGTAGGCTTACTTGAGTGATCAATGGAAGGAGGATTGGTACTAGAAGATGGGTTAGCAGATTTTTGTGAGGCCTGGAACTCAGTAAAGCGGGCAAACTCGTCAGCAGAGATGAGTATGAATTTGTCAGATGGCACATAATTATTTTCCTGGATTGCAAAATTTGTAAACGGGGGCTGCTGTTAAGGTCTATCATGAAGGTCCCAACACGTACGTATGGTATGGCCTGATTTCTTACAGTGATAACAGATTCGCTGATTTGAATTGTATTGTCCATGACCAGCAATCCCACCAGTCCCATTTTTGCCACTATTTCTACCATTATGACCAGCACCACTTCGACTCACGAGAGCATTAGTAATATTGGAAGTAGACAAAGATCCCTTGGTTCTCAACACTCGTGTGAAAGTTTCATGGAGGGAAACAATCTTTGGGCTAGAGAGAATTTGTGTTCGAGCAGCATCAAACTCAATTGGTAATCCTGCAAGAAAACTCATTATAGCCATTTGTTCTCGTTGAAACTATTGAGTTTTTACATCAGTACTAAAAGAAAGGAGAGAATTCAATTCCTCATACACACGTTTAAAATCCATAAAATATTCTATAAGGGATCTCTGCTATTTTTTCAAACAGTAAAATTCCTTACAAATATCATATATATGATTTAAATTACCTGTACCAGAATACAAGAAAGCTAAATAATCCATAAGATCTTTAACAAACTCACAATGATTGATGAGACTGACTATCTCATTATCAACAGAGTTTCGGATATGCAAAAATAGTTTTGCATCTTCCCTTAGCCAAATCTTCTTTTCTTTCCCATCAACGGGTGGGTCATCAGTGAGATTATCATCTCTATCGATGCTGCGCAGATATATCCGAATAGTTTTACTCCAATCCAAAAAAATTTTTCCACTCAATTTACGTTCAGTAATTTTTGATGTCGTAGGAATAATATCAGAAATTACTGTTTTCATCTCTCTACTACTACCTTTCATATCTGCCATTATAATTCACAGAAGAAAGACCTAAAAGCCATTCAATAGGGTCATGTCAAATGACAAATTGATAATAGAGGCTGAAACTCTGATACCATGAAAACTAAGAAAAAGGGAGAGAAAATACTCTTCTTCATATATATTTGGACTACACACACTACAAAAAATTATTTCTTTCGTGACAAATTTTTCATGACAACCAACCTATTCGTTACAAAAACAATACTTTTTATGACAACCCGTCAGGCAAATGTCCTTCAAAAGGCAAACATGTTTTTCTATTTTTTTTCATTGTCTAGAGTTACTTTCCCCACATCAATTCGTCAGGAAAAGTTTTCATTCTCCCTCCATTTTTTTCCCCGTTTTGGACCCAAAAAAATTTAGAAGGAAATCAGACTTATGACATGGAAACCGGGAAACAAAGAAACACTTTTCCGTATCTCTTACTTTTGGAACAACAACGACAAAGAAACACTTTCTCCAAATCTGTAACTTGTCTTCATATCTCCAACAACAAAGAACAACAACGAACTCGAACTTGTCTTCATCTCTTTCAACAAGAGAGACAACACGATGGTCTAAGGTGATGTAAAAATCAAATAATCCTTCAATTTTGTCTTCAATTTTGTCTTGAATCAGTTCCTTTTCTCCAAATCACCCTTCAATTTTGTCCTTAATTGGTTCATTTTTTATTTTTATAGTGGGTATTTTATTCATCTCTCTCTTTCTCTGTTCGTCAAAACCCAGGAAGATGTTTAAATTCTTGTGCCCGAGGATATAATCAGTAGAAAACTTGTTGATATCATTCTTGCTGATGCTCGCTTGCTCGATAGAGATCCTTTGAAAATTGACCCGGTTGGTATCCTATTTTGGTTGCTCCTCCTATTTCCAAGTCATCAATTTTTCAGCTCTGCTCAAGGTACTGAAAGTACAATAGTGGAATTGGCAGTCGGCTCTGACTGGTGAGTCAATTCAATTTTTCAGGTCTGACTATGGAATTTGCAATCAGCTCAATTTTTCAGTTTTGTTGCTTCTCTATTTAACAGAAAAGTTACAATTTTTAGCTTACCCTTTTGATAAAAGATCGATATTTCATGAAATGGCATTATTTTTTATACAATGCAGTTGTAGATTAAGAATATGTACTTAAATTACAATTAAGTTTCTAAATATTTCCTTGGGTTATATGTCCTGGTGCAAATATTGGTTATTGGATTAGAAGGGTGGTAATGTTGTTTGGATTTCATGGCCAAAAAAAGAGGAAATTTTGACTTGGTTAGTCAAAATGGGTGTACTATTGTCCAGTCTTTTTTATACGTATGTCTACATAGTTTGAACTACATTTGAGTGGCTTTTATATGAGGTAGTTGTATTTTGTTTTGGGTGAAGATAATAGATAAATTTCAGGTCAGCATGGAACACTGAAAGAAATTTTAAGACTGGCTATGGGGAAACCAGCAATGTATTCTCAGTGGTTGCATCCTTGCTACTTACTGCAAGGATAGTCTTCGAACACTACTGACACTTTTTCCTATGCATCACCCATATAGAAAAAAATGAAGATGGCCCAGGATAATTTGGTGGTGGAGAAATCCCAGTGTTGCAATAAAAAATGGAGCATGTTAGTGACTTACCACGGCCTAAATCTCATTGCTTGAATTCAGCTTACTAACAGAGTTGAGATGTGAGAATTATGACAGCGATGCTAGTTGCTACTGTGATTATCTATACTGGATGTGCGACTTCAGATTCTGTTGTTCTTCCATTTCCAGATTAAAGGTGGAATGGCAGGGTTTACAGGACAAATTTCTGCTGTCATAATTCTTGGCATTATGTTGATGTGACATAGTTCTTCTCATTTGCCCTGTAAATGTTCTTGAAAGTGAGATGGACAGGTAAAGATGTTTAAGCAGCAGTCTCTGGCTTCTTTTATAGTCTAAGCCTATTACAAATTGGAATTTTGTTGGATTTACATGACATTTGACATACATCTAAGCTGGTTGCTAAAATAACAGTGAAGCCAG